CCTACTCCCTACTCCCTACTCCCTACTCCCTACTCCCTACTCCCTACTCCCTACTCCCTACTTCCTACTCCCTACTCCCTACTCCCTACTCCCTACTATTTGATTAACTATCAATAAAGATTGCAAAAACTATGTCCTCCATATAAACAATGGAATCCTGTATTTGCGGAATAAATACTGAGTTCAAGTTGAATCATTAATCTTCAATTGTTTCTCCATCTTAATATCTGGATAAATACTAAACTATATTTTCCTCTTTACATTCAGGAAATACAAGACCTGTAGCTCGACATATTTCCAAGCTACCTTCCAGTCATAAAGTACATAGCATGTCCTATTTACATTGGTACCCTTATTATGCAACAATGAAAATTATGCCGTTATTTCTCTATTTGGAAAAGTTTTCAATTCTGACAGTTTCCTCCTTTCTTTTCTACTGCATAAAATTCGCAAATTAAAATGACCAATTTTAAGCCAGAAAATGGAAGAAAACTCCATCAGTTTAGTTTAAACAACTGTTAAAAGGGTACCGTTGAAAATCGGACATGTCACTTTTTTTAATGAACAGCTATACTTGATTTTTAGGATGTGACGAATAATGATGTGTGTGTGACACATGTTTCTATATCTGATTTTTAAGTGCTTTTAAAATTCTATACAACGACTTTGTTAATTTATGAAAAAGATTATTCAATTTAATTTTGAAGTTCCGACCGTGCTAAATTTTAGCCGTCCCAATTCCCTTTACGACAGATTTTTTAATTCTGCCTGTTCAATTTTGTAAACATTGTTAAAGGTTGCGATAAGTATGAGTATAGTTAGTAAACCTGACACCATTTGCTGTTACAAAAAGATTTTTTAATTTTCAAATAATTATCTGGCAATTATGATTCTCTGCGATAAGAAAAAGATTGCCGCTTTAATAACTTGAACAATTTACGAACATAGCTGTGTGTGTGCGTGCGAGCGTCTGTGTGTGCGTGCGTCAAAATCAAAATTTAAGGGCGCGTTACAGATTTTATATGTAAAAAGGAATTGAGTCTTTTCCTTAAATCCTGATTTTTTAATCTTTATCTTTGCAACCAAATGTCGTAGATCTTGAATAGAAAAACTATGAATTATGTTGAATTAAAAAAGTTCGAAATATCAAAGGTTTACACCATTAGGTTGAAAATATATAGGGATTAGCAAATTTGAGTTTAGGGCAAAGGCTTTATTGTCGTTGTATTCTATAGTTTCATGGGTATTCAGCTGTAAGACGTCCGAAATTTGTTAATTAAATTACTATTCAAGTTTTATTTGATGTTTTGTAGTTTGGACGATTTATGAAGAAGATTTGGTCTTGTTTTTACTGATAAAATGTATATTTGGAATCAAAGGTATCCATATATCTACACCTAGTGTTAAACATTGTCCATAACATAGTTCTGTCACAAGGTACCGAATAATAATGATAAAGTGAGTAGTCTGATTATAGACAACCTGGGTCAAATACTAGACAAACATTAAATATGATTGAACAGAGGAGCAACCGAGATTAGCGGGGAGCAAATCATATCAAATTAGAGCAGAATTGAATAGAAATAGCGGGACAGAATAAAGCAAATCAGAGAAGAGCAGAGCAGAAAAGAGCAGAGCAGAAAAGAGCAGAGCAGAAAAGAGCAGAACAAAGCAGAATAGAGCAAAATACAGCAGAATAGAGAAGAATAGAGCAGAATGAAGCAGGAAAGAGCAGAATAGAGCAGCTAAAAAGCATTAAAGCAGAAAAGATTGGAAAAGAGCAGAGTAAAGCAGAATAGAGTGATAGAGGAGAAAAGAGCAGAATATAAAAAAGGAGAATTTATTTCGTCAAAAAGGTTTTCTGAAAACAATAGATTCTCATTCTTAAAGACTTAGGAAAAAAATTGAAATAAATGTTTTTATAAGTTGTGTTGAGAACGTTTTTAACCAATTCAGATTTTTACAGCAAAATAGGTTGTGCTACGCCCATGCTGTTATTTAATATAATTATTAATCAACTGTATTGATGAACTAAGTAATTATTACATTATTACATTTTTATATATTCATATATTATAGAAATATCTTCGAAATTTTTTACAAATATTTATTAAATATGCTAAAAAATGTACCTTAAAAACTAGGTCTAGATTATGATTATTTTTACTATATTAAAATATTTTATTATTGCAGACTTTAAATCTTTAAAGCTTCGAGTTTTTAAATTATAAAATCTTTAAAGACCTGAACTTTAATAGCAAATTTATTATAATCAACCCTTTACAGATATTTAATAATCATAGAAAGGATCTTAGCACACTAATAATCTTTATTGACTTATTGACTTATTGTAATAACATACTTTTTAAAGATTCTATCTTTATTTAGGGATATAAAAGCTAAACGGTACAATTTTTATTTCTTAAGCTTAAAACTATTTCATAATGGTACTTTCCCAAAGGCATTTTCCCAGGTGCGATTTCAAAAGTAACAATTTCCTATGTGGCAATTTCCCAAAGTTTAGGTTAGAGGCACCGCAGGCTGCAATTGGGGCCGAGTACTGCGGCTCGGATAGGCTAGTGGGCCTAGCCCTGCGGTTAGAACAGGCCAGGGGGATGAGCGCTTTGGCTAGGACAGACTTGAGAAGTTGGCGCCTAGGAAATTTACCATTTTGGAAGTTGCCTCTTGAGAAGTTGGTGCTTTGGGAAAGTACCTAACTTCGATTACAATGCAGACTAGAGTATAAAAAACTATTTTCTTCTCTGAATTCTTTTTAAACTAGATGACTATTGACTGTATTATGTATTTTTTTATCCTAGACTAAAGTTTTGGAGCAGTCACTTGATCAATAGCATCTGTATCTGTAAAATCTATTATAGGAATATTCTTGGTTTTGGTGGCAGAAGCAGAGAAGTCAGGAAGATCATTTCGCTAAACAAAATTAAATAATGATTAATCAATATTAAACTAAACAAAGACCAATCAATCAATTGAAAAGTTTAAATCAGTAGTTAAAAAAATAAACATTTGTCACATGCCAAAACATTAAAATATCTATTATTTTAGCCCTTTCTCTGCTTGAAATCAAAACAGATCAAATAAAGTTCTTATAATGCATTAAATTGATTTTTTACCTCACTGTTAAAGGTAGAAGCAGGTTGGACAGAGTTATTCTTTTCTGAAGTACGTTGTACCGGAAATGGTTGCTTAGAAGCCGCTGGAGAGGCACGTTGTTCTGGAAGTGGTTGTTGTGAAACCTCTGAAGAGATACGTTGTGCAGGGAGTGGTTGTTGGGAAGCCCCTGGGGAACTACGTTCTGGGAACTTAATATCTGGAGTCAATAGGCCATCTGGTGGGGACGGTAAATGGGCTCCAGTAGGCTGGAATCCATTCTCATCTGCTATCCAGTCAACTAAAAAATAGATTGAAGAGCATAGGTCTAATTCTCAAGCGAAATTTTTTTAAAGCATAATCCAGACGTATAAACACCTTCATATGTAACCCCATCAGGACCAACATAGGAATATGATCCACTCATTACAACCCCTTCTTCATCTCCAATCTGCTTGATCTCTCCTCTAATAAATGATCAAGAATAAAAGATTAAAGAATCACAATCATAACATAGTTCTACATCCTTTCCATCTACATGACAGTTGAGATGTAATATTTATCAAATATTACCTTTGTGTTTAGGGTTACCTTGCTGATTGTTGAATACCATTTCCAGTGATGTACGAATAAGAGAAGGAAGGCAGAGGACCTTCAAAATGATTGTAAATGATTGGAACTTGACCTTCAGGAGTAAGTGTCGAAGGAACATTAGGTTTAGCTGGTGATTTATAAGCATCAGTGTTTCCAGTAGTAGTGGTGGGAGAATACTTTTTTGGAGGAATAACAGGGTAATGGTGATTACCATAGTAGCCATAAGGATGCTTAGGATAACCATAGTTAGGATATCCACCATAGCCTCCATATGGAAACTTTCCTGGATATTGGGGTAAATAGTATTTGGGATCCCTTGCCAGTCTCACATTTTCCTCAGACTCAAGCTCCTCAAATAGTCCACCCTTGAACCGAGCAGCATACTTCTCTGGAAAAGAATTTCCTTTGATGCATTTATAGAGAGGTCCTTGAGACTACCTGCTGCTGGTTCAAATCCTGTATCACCAATTCAAAACTCATGTACGTTCAACTTTGAATCATTAATTCAAGATTTCAACCAGCGGTAGGTAGTTCATTTACCAAGCTCAAATTCATATTAACTTTGAATCAGTGATTTGAATTTGAACCAACATTAACCTAGAACCCTAGCTGGTGAAATAGCAATTAAAAGTTTAAGTACCTGCATCCATCCGCTCAATGATCTTCTGACGGTAGTCCTCTGAGAGAGGTTTTTCCATGTCAACTCTAACAGAATCCTTTAGATCATCTGATACAATTGGATGAAGAGGTATCCAGTTATTTGATCCTGAATTCTCATCTTGAGCTACTGATCTCCAGTCTATCTGGTTGTTGGCGGCCTTGAGTTTTAGGTTTGATCTATGCTCCTTCAATAGTTTCTCTGCCTCTAGTAACTCCTTTCTTTTCTTTAGTATATGCCAATCCACATTGTGGGCGTTCTTGTGTACACTCTTTGCAGAGTCCACGTGGTGAGAATGTTTGTGTACACTCTTAGAGTCCACATGGTGAGTATCCTTGTGTACACCAGTGTCCCAAGTTACATTTTCCATGTTCTTGTGTACACTTGAACCCTGAGGGTCGGATCTTGGTTCTCTTGGTCGCTCTGCCAGGACGTTTGATTGAAGCGAGGTATAACAACATGTCACCTGAAACAGGAAGCAAGTATTAAAATTTGCATTTTTTGCTTTAAATTAATTTTGACAGTTTTTTACATCAATTATTCAATATTTATGGTTAGCGGAAATATTACAAATGACTGACTTTTACAAGACATAATTTAATATTAATAATAAAATATTTTTTTAGTCACATGAATTGAATTGGCCATGAAAAGGGTTCTATGTTTTCTTAAAACCTATGTTTATTTTCGAAATTCCGAAACGTCTTCTCTTCTGTACTCCTAGAATCATCAAGAATTTTTGGTTGATGGAAAAAATTTAATCAGAAAAACAATATGGAACTTTTGGCATGTAAACTAGCTGCATAAGCTCGAATTTTCAAAGTTGTCGGATCTTGGCAAGATTCCGCCGGTTAGGAAACCCGCCGGTTGCGGGGTGCAATTTACCCAAGTTTCTCTACAATTTATGATCAAACCAAAGTAACTTCTGACTTGTAAATGAACAAGGGCGGATTTCAAGATTTTAGTGAGGGGGGTACTAAATTTATTTCGGAACAAAAAAATACAGAATTAGGAACAAAAAGACGTGCTGCAGTCGAAAGTTTTTTTTAAGACAGATAATTTTACTATTTTGCACTAGATTTTCTTTCCCTTAAGTGCTATTGAGAAGCTATTATGATATCTCATGGGGGGGGGGGCTACGCACCCCCTGAATCCGTCAAGGGGTGCGAAGGTCCTGCCGCCCCGCCCCGGTATCCGCCCTTGTTAAAATGAAAATAAAGATTTACACATCTTCAATATTAATGCTATTGTTGTTTGAACTTTCTGAAAAATATCTATTTCAATTATTTTCCCACCACTTTTTAAAGAAACATAAAATGATAAAAGTATTGAAGCACTGATCAAAATAACAAGAAGCTTGTTGTGTAGAAATATTTCTTTTTTTAAATGTTTTAATCAAACTTATCAATAAAAAAATCTGGAATGAAATAATCAATGGCATCTTGTAAAGCAATATTTGATAAACCAGACTATAGATTCATTCTCGGTTTAATTGGATAAACTCTAACTGACTCTAAACTGATAAAATTCTTTGAAATTCTCGTTAAAATCCAAATATTCTTCAAAATTCTAGTTTTGTGAGAGGGGTTGATTATGTGGACTCTGAAAAGGGAGGAAGAGGGCTTAAATTCTGATTAAAATATTTCTGCGTGGGTGTACTATGAAGACAGCTTGTACCAGCCTATCTACACATTATCAAAACAGAACAATATTTGTAAACAAACAAAGAAAGATTTTAGATTTGATTTGATACAATACAATGATAAATAAGGACAAGGAAATAATATTCTCATGCATTTATCAATTGAAGATTTATAATATGAGTATACATACATTTTATAAAAAAAGCTTAGATAGTTTAAAATGTTTTTTGAATATAAAATCTAGAATTTAAATCTTATAATGAAGGGACTAAAACGTAATTTTAAGTAACCTTTCATGGCAAGATGGCAATGCCGGATTAGAAATACCCTTAAGATTTGCCTGATCAAGTGTTAATTATATATATATATATATATATATATTAAATATATAAATAATAAATATTGTATATCAATGTTTATAATTTTACAAATTGTTTATTTTCAAGGGAGGTTTCTTTTAAAAAGTTATTTGCACATTTGTACTGCATGAAAATATATTGGATTTACCAGAAATAAACACTGTCAAACCTTGAGAAACGACTATATCTTCTACTTTATTGATCAGGAAAAGTTTTCAAGGGTACCGTTGTGAATCGGGAATTCTAAAATTTGCATAGAGGCCCGAAGGCCTTTTTAAATTACGCTTACAATCCCATTAAATAGGAAGTTACAACTTAAAGTGAAGGCCTGAGAAGCACTGCGTTTGTTTACAATACTCGAAAACTGTAGTACACTTAATTTGTCAACAAGGCTAATTAATAGGATAGTAGGGACACAACCGTTACCTTTATTTCATGCAATCCGCCCCTGACATTTTGGATAATTTTTAGTTTTTTTAAAGTTTTCATCAAAATAAGCAGCCAACGTTTATCTTCAAGTTTTATATGATTAATCTGTTTAGAATCCTTTTATAGGATTAATCTTTTTAAAATCCTTTGATATGATTAATCCGTTTAAAATCCTTTTATATGATTAATCTGTTTAAAATCCTTTTATAGGATTAATCTTTTTAAAATCCTTTGATATGATTAATCCGTTTAAAATCCTTTTATATGATTAATCTGTTTAAAATCCTTTGATATGATTAATCTGTTTAAAATCCTTTAATGTGATTAATCTGTTTAAAATCCTTTAATATGATTAATCTGTTTAGAATCCTTTTATATGATTAATCTGTTTAAAATCCTTTAATATGATTAATCTGTTTAAAATTCTTTAATATGATTAATCTGTTTAAAATCCTTTAATGTGATTAATCTGTTTAAAATCCTTTAATATGATTAATCTGTTTATTTAATATGATTAATCTGTTTAAAATCCTTTAATATGATTAATCTGTTTAAAAATGTTTAATATGATTAATCTGTTTAAAATCCTGTATAAAAACATGAAGTATAATATTCAAGCTAAGCGTGAAGATTGCAAAATAGATAATTTCACTTGCTCTTTAATTTGTTTCGTCCTACTCGTCCTACAACCTGTAATTAGTGAATTATATGACCTTGAATTCACACTCACCAGGAAATAAATTTTTAAATCTTTTTTTCTTCTCCAGGACGTTGATTTAGAAAATGTTTTTTTTGCGAATTAATTAATATTTTTCTTCCGAACGCAAGAAGCTATACACAACTTTTTATACATTTAAAGGAACTGTAAAGGAAAAATGAAAGGGAGGATAGGATGAAACCTAATAATCTCTGCCATTGGCTGAAGTGCTGGTGACGTGATACGGACTATACGGACCATATGTAATGTAATTATATTATCAATTAGATCTATTAAAAAAGCAAAATAAAAATCAAAAAATTATTATAGGAGCGAACCTGAGATTCTCAGGCTCCTGGGGGATATCCTCTTTTTTTAGATTGTTGCGTATTTGTTGATTATTATCTGTTTAATACTACAACTTGTACACAAAATTGCATGTATATATGAATTTTCGTATAAATTTGACACAGTTTTCTATCAATTTCTCGAGGCAAGAACATCAGATATATGTATTATAGGTATCGTTAAACTTCTGAGATTCTCAGGTTTCATCCCATACCTCCTTTCATTTTTCCGTAAGAGACCTTTTAAGAATATCAATAGAACCAAGTTTTGTTTGGAAATCAGAATATTCTCCTTATAAGTGGACCAACTCAACTTAATTATTTTAACCAAGCTTTCAGCGTTATTGATCAGATAAAGGATTCAAGGGTACCATTGGGAATCGGGCGCTGTCATCTTTACATTGAGGGTTACTTAATATTATACCAACAATCTCTTTAATTTTACACCCACAGTCTCTTTAATATTACACCAAAAGTCTCTTTAATATTACGCCAACAGTCTCTTTAATATTTCACCAACAGTCTCTTTAATATTACACCAACAGTCTCTTTAATATTACACCAACAGTCTCTTTAATATTACGCCAAGAGTCTCTTTAATATTACGCCAACAGTCTCTTTAATATTACACCAACGGTCCCTTTAATATTACGCCAACAGTCCCTTTAATTATTTATTTTAAATGAATCTCTGTAGTGTAAATTCTAGATCCAAGGACCAACTCATCTATTGTCATTAGAGAACTCGTAAATTTACAGATAGACAGATAGATACATATAATTATATAATATATATATATATTTGTATATATATATGTATAACTATATTTATAAAGTAGTAATCTCGGTTGGCCTGTTCGTTTGTTTGTTTGTTTGTGTTTCTGATCATAGCTCAGACACCTCGATTTGTCTCAAAATTTGATCGGGGAACTCAGTATAAGTTAGAACCCCGGGAATGTTATTAAAATGAGTTAACTTTTAAATATTTTTCCATGCAAATCTTGGTTCCCAAGCTAGTATGTAAAATTGTACAATGGTAAATAAAGTTAAACAAACACCTTTATTTATTTATATTTGAAAAAGTTAAGATGCCTTAATTCCCAAGCATGGCCATTAATATAATAAGAATTATTTATAGCAAAGAGTATTTTTCACAAAATTGTATGAATCTGCCAACCATTGAACGGTCAGAATATTCTAACTTTATATCTCCCTTGGCTGAAAGTTTTATGATAAATTGAAATAGATATATAGAAGTATTTAAAGGAACTGAGTTTTCAAACTTAGATTTTCAATCCTCATATCTTTGAAACCCAATGTCATAAATCTTTGATATTTTAGGCTATAAATTCTGTTAGATCAAATAGTTAAAGTCTGAATTATGAAATGTTACCCTATCTGGTTGCAAATATATAAGGGATTTGAAGTTTTGATATGGGGGGAAAACTTTCTTCCTGTCTGGAAGAAATATCGACATTAATAAACTCAATGGGTGACACAAAAACCCTTAAATGGAATGATTAAAAAAAAAATTTGTACCTTCCACATATTACGAAAACATTAACAATAAAATGTGCTAAATTGTGATGAACCTTATCATCTTTTATTTGTTTTATTATCAATATCACAGCATAAAATTGAATCAATGTTGAATACTCATTAAAAAGTTATCCATATTATAATTATGAATATTACTATTATTTGCATTATCATGTTTATTATTATCATTTTTATTATTTGTACTATTATTTTTATTGCTATTATTGAAATAATTAGTATCAATGTTATTATTTTCATTATAATTTTTATGACATTAAAATCTATGTTATTAGAACTTTAATTAATTTCATTATTGTCAAAACATTTTGGATATTTTTTATTTTGTTAAAAAAAATTTATGTTTTCTTCAGGTTATAATAAAATGGAATTAATATCAAAATTATGTTTTCTTCAGGTTATAATAAAATGAAATTAATATTAAAATTATGTTTTCTTCAGGTTTTAATAAAATGAAATTAATATTAAAATTTATATTTTCTTCAGGTTATAATAAAATGCAATTAATATCAAAATTATGTTTTCTTCAGGTTTTAATAAAATGAAATTAATATTAAACTTATGTTTTCTTCAGGTTATAATAAAATAAAATTGATATTAAAATTTATGTTTTCTTCAGGTTATAATAAAATGAAATTAATAATAAAATTATGTTTTCTTCAGGTTTTAATAAAAGGAAATTAATATTAAAATTATGTTTTCTTCAGGTTTTAATAAAATGAAATTAATATCAAAATTATGTTTTCTTCAGCTTTTAATAAAATGGAATTAATATTAAAATTATGTTTTCTTCAGGTTTTAATAAAATGAAATTAATGTTAAAATTATAAAGATATAAACTTACAAGTATGACAGCTAGAGGTGTACGAAGCATGGCTGCGTGAATACAACTAGAATTCACCCCCCTCACTGTACGGGGTCCCCCCTCTTCCGTAATGGTATTAACAGAAATGAAGAGACATGAATTATTTTCTGCGTATAAAGCAAAATATATATCAAACACGAAACTGTGTTGATATGGCGTTAAAACACTAAAACCACAGCATTTGATTTTGTCTCAAATTATAAGAATTTGTCTCCAACTATTGAAAACATATTATACAAGAACTTGAAGACGCCATTTTATCAAGGTTATGTGTATTATATGTTAAACCCATGATCACATGGACTTTTTAAAATCATAACTTGTTCTCTCTCTATTCTACGGTTTAATGGGTCTCACTACATCTATATATATATATAAAGATGTAATCTCTGTTTGTCTGTTTGTTTGTTTGTTCGATCATAACTCAGGAACCCCTATACCCATTTGCCTGAAATTTTGATTTGTGAATGTTCTTAGCTCGGTTGAAATTCTGAGTTGAGTGGGTCGACTTTCATTTCGAAAATTTAGTCCCGGTAAAATCGAACACGTGCGGGTAAACGGCTAGTTGAAAAATAAATTTGTCCAAATTGTGTTATTCCTCAAGTATTTAAATAAAACAAATTAAATCAAATTTATGCGACATTACTGCTACGACTTTATGACATAGTAGTAGAGGTGATCAATATTGGAATTGAGCCAACCGCCTACCGGGGGTTGCTGCGTTTTCACTTAAAAAAATATTGCAAATCAGAAAAAAATTTCAAAATCGTCCAAAGGGTTGCGATTTGACGATTTAATATCACCACAAAAAAAAATTATTTTTTATTTTCATGTTATACATCGTTTTCTTGGAAATTTTATGCTGAATGCAAATCTGAACGGCTTTTTAAAAAATTTAAAATTGAGTAAGTTAGAGCTAAAAAACTCATAAAAAACATTAACAAGTTTTAAAAAACCGGAATTTAGTACCGTTATTTGGCCATAACTTGTTTAGAATTTAATATTTTAAAAAATGGTTTTTAAATCTGAATTCAGCATGAAATATCCAAGAAAATGATGTATCATGTTTAGTTTTTTGAAATATTTTTTTAGGCCTTACGCGATTTCTCCAATATTAAATTGTCAATTCGCAACCCTATGGACGATTTTGAATTTTGTTTCATTACAATATTTTTTAAAGTAAAAATGAAGTGACCTCAGGTATCAATCACCCTTATACCTAGTAGTTCCTCTATTTTGGATTTTCCGCACAATTACAAGAAAGGTTAATTTATCCGATTATTCAAAACACTTTTGTTCTTCTCAATATCTCTTCAACAAAATTGATTTATGTTTGAACACATTTAAGATTTCATTAGTTTGACGTGGGATTTTCCTTAAATATTAGGATAACGTGATTTTCCATACGTCTACGCTGCAGTACGATCTGCAGGTTGAACTTTGACAAATTATAAAGAACTTTCAAGTTTTTACTCAACTTTAGTAAATAATGAAGATATACAGCGACCTACGCAATTTGCGTAGTTTAACTTACTTTGCGTAATTAGATAATTGCGTCAGGCAACGTGTCAGATGTCTACGCTAGCATGAATTTCTTTGTATTGTTAATTTTGACATCGATATCATGAACATTTAATACATATGTTTAGGATGCCAAATTATGCCAACCTTTCAGGCGAACCGTCGGGAATCAGATATGATTTTTTTATTGGTGGATTAGTTGAAACAAAGTATATAGTCCATTTAATGAAGGGGGTGGGGGGAGGGTAGACGTAATGATTTGAAGGAGAAAGATTACCTTTTCTTGCAGTATTACGTATTTTTATTATGTCAGAATGCGTTTAAGCTGTCAACATTATTGAGAAACGAGTCAAATTATTCTTTCTACAGTCTTTAAATTTAAAAAATGGCGGTTTCTTAAAGAAAGATGTTAAACTCTGTATTTTATCGGCAGAAAACAATTCAATGATTTCTATTTATCAAATGTTTAGACAGTCACGAGTCTCGACTTTAAAGTGTTGCAACGCCTTGATATTTAGTTTTACATCACGTACACTCCCTTATACTTGATTGTAGCCCTAGAAATATAATTTTACATAATGCAACGTGACTTTTTTCTAGTTTGTTTAAAAGGAGTAGTTGGCAAGATACAGTTTGAACTTTGTGTGAGAGTGTGCACAAGTCAAATTGGGAGATTTTACCGGACTTAAAAATAGTTTCCCTTGAAATTCTAGATAAACAAAACACATGTAATGCCATATGTCTATGTTTTGGTTATTAACTACCCGATCTTTTGGACATTTTTTCATACCTACTATTCAATACTACTCAATATTAAGTTATATCATATTTTTTTTAACCCTATCTCTGCTGGGGTACTTGAAAACCAGGATATGCTGGGGGGGGGGTCAAATTTCCCCTCCCCAGCAGGAATAGGGTTAATCGACATACTGAATATTATGGTATAACATATTTTGTTTAATCGACTTACTGAATATTATGTTATAACGTATTTTGTTTATCGATCTACTCAATATTAAGTTATAACATATTTTGTTTAATCGACATACTGAATATTATGTTATAACATATTTTGTTTAATCGACATACTAGGCTTCTGAATATTATGTTATAGCATATTTTGTTTAATCGACCTACTAGGCTACTGAATATTATGTTATAACATATTTTGTTTAATCGACCTACTGAATATTATGTTAAAACACATTTTGTTTAATCGACTAAAACTGCTAGTATGCCATTGACAATTTTAAAAACTGGTTTTGATACGACTTCTCATGCTTCTCGTCATGAGTTTCTATTCTGAACACCGTCTATAATTTAAATACTTGATTTTTAAAATATACAAAGAGAGGTTTCGTGATTTTAAATCAACCATAATCTATATAATAAAACTCTTTTATATAGCTGGGCAAAGCGGCTAGACCGAATTGGCTGACATTTTTTAGGGAACTCTTGAGTACCCTGGGGGTAAGTAACATGGGCTGAATAAATTCAAATTTTTTAAATCAATCTTTTTCAAAAATAGATTTGTTTTTCGAAGGTCGAATTTTTTTAACTTTACGGGAAACGCCGGGCACTTCAGCTAGTATTTACTAAAGTAGTGCTCGGGATCTCAGAAAATTTAAACATTAGGCTTTTAATAAATACAAATCTTTTACAATTTTAATTTATTTTATCAATCAATAAATTAGCATAAATACTGGTAAATAATCACAAACAATGCTCTGAACTGAAATCAGGGCAGGGATAATTTTTTCAGCATCACTTAGAAGCTCCCGTAGCCGGCCAGTCGATCCTCAACAATATTAGAAGCAGCAGCAGCAGCATCTTCTTGAGCAGCAAATTCTAGCTGAGCACGAACAGCAGCAGCTACCTCAGGATGATCAGGTTCAACAGACTTGGGTAGGTGAGCAGCAGTAGGATGGAATCCTGTCTCATCAGCATACCAATCAACCTGGTAGGTCTGACCGTCAGGGCCAACATAGGAGTAGGAGCCACGCATCACCATCACCTCGCTGTCGTCAATCACCTTCATCTCTCCTTCGGCAGATTGCTGGATCTCATTCTCAGTCTCGTAGGAGTATCTGCAAAAATGTAATGTTAAATACAAATAGGAAAACGAAATTGAGTCCTTGTGACAAACTCTGATTTTCTAATCCCAATATCGCAGAACGTAAATAGAACTTATGAATTATTCTAAATCAAATGATCTAAGTTGGAAATATAAAAGGTTTAAGAAGTCAGAGCTGGGAACTTTGAATGGTGGATATCGGGATTAATGCTTGATCCACTCTTTTTCTTAATCTTCAGATTAAATAATGCTTGCTCTCCTCTTGTTATTTATCTCTAGATTAATTAACAGAACGGGATTAAGGATATCCCATTCTAAAGTTTTCAGCTCAGATTAAACAGATATAGGGATGAGGAAATTTGAGTTTGTGGAAAAGGATCAAATCCTTTCTAGAAACAAGTCTTTGAAATTGATAAATGGTAAAACAGAAAGAAATAAGAGAATAGAAGTAAAAATATAAAGAATGAGGTAAAAATACAAATGACTAGAACCAATGAAGATACATGGAAAATATGGTCCGTATAAATTTAACTAATACCTTAACAATATTTTAGAAGATTTGCTGTTCCATTAGATGTAAAAAATCATTTTATTTATACCTGAAGGCGGGGAGAGGTCCATCAAAGCTGCTTCGAACGATGGCAATGGGAGCAACGGGTTCAGCAATGATCCTTGTGTCAACAACCTGGGACGCAGCAGAGTCAAGTCCTCCATAATCGGCCTGGAACAAGTTGGAAATATTTAAAGGGACTGTAAGCGTTTTTTTAAACGACCCTCAATGCAAAGATAGCAATGTCCAATTTACAATGGTACCCTTAAAACCTTAATCTTGTCAAAAATGCTTACATAGACCCTTTAAAGGAGGGAAATGACAAAATCAAAGATATTTGCAAATTTGATTTAATTTGATTAGGTTTGCAAATTTGATTTAATTTGATTAGGTTTTGCAAATATCGTATTGCAATAACAACTATGCTAAATATGTCACCTTTATGAAATTGGATTCAGAGTTGTACTTTGAAAACTAATATGTTGGAAGTTTATTATATACTAGAATGCGAACCCAGCGTTTTCCAGGTTACTCATTAATACTCCCGCCGTTTTCCCACGCTTGGTCGTAAATAACGATTTTAGCTATTTTTTCCTGTTAAAGTAGACTCACTCATCTTCTCACAATCAAGCTAAGAACATGAGGCAAATCAGTTCAGAGTGTTCATGAGTTATGATCGGATATCCAAAAACAAAAAAAAACAGAGATAACAACTTTATATCTATCTATAAATTTGGCTTATCTGTCTGTTTGTCTGTAAAAAAAAAAGAATTATAAAATTTAAAACAAAATCTTCCCACGTGGTCTAGGCAGACACTCCTGCGCGCCGAATACCGCGTTTCTGACTCTGCTGACCATTAATCAATCATAGGAATTCTTCTTACATTTACTAGACTAGCTCAATCAATCAATCACGCTGGGGGACTGGGAGGGGATTACTAATTTTTCACCTCTTTTGAACGTACATGATAATCCAAGGCTTTTAAAATACGCCCTATTCCTTAAATGTTTTCCCCTGACAGTACATTTTCTTTCATACTTTTCCCGCTTTTCCTTTTCCTCATATCCCTGTTCTCCCTTTTCCTGTTCACTTTAGTCCTGTTCACTATAGTCCTGTTCACTATAGTCCTGTTCGATATAGTCCTGTTCCTCATACTCTATTCTTCCTAATCCTGTTTACTTTAGTCCTATTTCCTCTATTGTCCTGTTCCTCCTAGTTATATTTGTCCTCTGTTTATATTCCTCCATGTCCTGCTACATTCTAGTCCTTTCCATATTGAGTTTTATCCTACTCCTACTCCTACTCCTACTCCTACTCCTTCTCTTANCCCCCCTGTTAACTAAGATTTATTCTTGTTCCTTGCAAATGTTAAAAAGAAGACCTTGAAAGTTGGAATCTTTAAACATAACATAAACTTCAAGATTCCTTTGTCCAGTTGCAACACATATATAATACAGGCCAGCTCAGAACTGGACTAGAAAATAAGGAGATGAGAATTCATGGATCTGGGAAGTAAGGATTGGAGATTTAACAGTCTAGGACGCATTGATCTTATCTATAGGATTGTGTGACCCATATTTACAAAGTACACCTGCTGTTCAAATATAAAGAAAGAAGATGTTGCCCAAGAATCCGAAATAATCTAACCCTTCCAAGGGTTGATAGAAGAGAAGTATTAGTTAGCCCTTCAATATAGAAAACAAGCTGAAGTACTCGGCGTTGCCCGTACAATTACAATAAAAAATGGCCTTTGTTTCCTTAAAAATGTTCTCCCAACCCCCTCCTCTTACATGTCCTTCTTCTTTCTTCCTTTTTAAGTCATTTTTATATTGCTTTTTACCTTTACCTACTTTTTAATCTATCTTCTCTTATCATTTCCCCTTTCATCACTTCCAGGAAGTTCTTGCCTTCTTTTTTCACTTCCCCTCCCCTACCTTCTTTCCTTCTATAACCAACCTCCCCCTTTCCTGACCCCTTTTCCCTTTCTTCATTACTCCTATATTCCACCATATATTTGATTATAAAAGCTGCCAACCTTGTCATGTATATATGTTATCTCTAAAATCCTATTTCTGATTAGAATGGATTATCTTGATTAATTTACTAATTGTGGACAATTTTATTCAACCGTAGACAAATTGTTTCTGGTTGCTCACCGTTCACTGGGCACTTTTATATTTGACACACTTTCAAGCGTAACGTTATATCGTTTTAAAAAAGTTGTAAATATCATGAAAAGGGACCGTGTCGTTCTTATTTCAAGTTACCTTTCATTAAAAGAGGAGTTATATTACCATTTAAACATTTATCTTATCAATTATGTGGAAGATTTTTCTATATCCAAATGTTTCTATTTTCGCCTTAATGAATAAACCATGGTTGCAGATAAAAGATAGAACGAGAAAAACATGGATATCTTTTTTTGAACAAGCCATTTTCTAAACAAGAGTCACTTGAAATTTAGCCTACAGTCCCTTTAAATTGTTGAAAATGTAAAGAATACTTACAGTTCTCATGTTGTATACAGTGTATGATATGAAGGTAAATGCTTCAATGTGCTGAATCTATTAAAAATAGTCCTCTTATACCTTTACCCATTCTGACGTCACATTTCCGACCTAAAGCTAAAAGTGTTGCCCATTTCCTGGCGCTAACATGACCGTCCCAGCACGGGGGCTGTTGGCGCCAGAAGCCAGTATGTTGGCGCCAGGGGCCAATGATGTTAGCGCCAGACCCTGCCGTGCGTGATACAAGAGAATGGGAAGATTCTGGGTTGTAGGAATGCTGCAAAACTGCACACGGTTCCCAGACAATGCTTTTTCAAGTTTCATCTGATCTTAAACTATCCTGGTTTCAGGGTCCTGGCTAGAGTACTAGGACAGGTGGACTCTAAATTATGTAGTGACCAGTGTCCTTCAGCATTTATAAACAAATCCATAATCTCATTCCATCTTTATTCATCCATCTTCATCTTTATTCCATCTTTCTTCATCCTCTTTCTTTTAATCCAATTTTATTCATCCCCATTCATCTTCCTTTTTCTTCTGTTCTCTTCCTTTATCTTCCTTTCTCTTCCTTTCTCTTCCTTTCTCTTCCTTTCTCTTCCTTTCTCTTCCTTTCTCTTCCTTTCTCTTCCTTTCTCTTCCTTTCCCTTCCTTTCTCTTCCTTTCTCTTCCTTTTGCAAACCTTTTTAATTCCTACTTTATGCGTTTTCTTTAATTTATTTAAATTTGTATTCCCCTTATACCAGTTCTCAGCAGTTTTTATTTTTATAGAATTTATCTATTTTCTATCTTCCTCTGACATCTTCAGTTTGATTCCTTTTATTATTCTCGTATATATCTACATAGTATAACTCTTTTTAATAAAAATGTGAAGTTTAAAAACTGAAATATATACATATATAAATATATATATATATATATATATATATGTACCATGGATGACCACTTAAACTATCTATTTAGCATTAAACTAAGGATTTATTGGATGGTCAGAAGCTGTAAATAGATTCACCCTTTACCGGGGGTTTACGCAACATCTTTTATACCAAGCTGAAGAAGACTCACTCTTACCGACAGGGTGTCCCACGAAACAGGACTGTTGGGGAATAGTTTTCAATGTTTTTTCCATATACTGCATTAGATATTAAAAGACTTTTCGCAGTTTGTTTTTCATTCAAAAAAATGTTTATCTCAAATATTTTTCACTTTAAAACAATTTTATTATAATATGGCTTCCATATAATACTTCTATTATTCTCTTTGGTATCAAACATCTTAACAAAATTATGGAAGAAGACATTAAACTATTCACCAACTGTCATGTTACGTGGGACACCCTGTATAGCACCCATTCCAGGTTCAAAAAGAACTGAGTTTTTGGCACAAACTCTGGTTTTTAATCCCTTTATTTCTTCAACCCGATGTCGTAGACCTTTTATATTTTAAATTATGATTTATGTTAGATGAAATACTCTATGTTTAAAATATTAAATGTTCAGGCTGCAAATATATAGCAGGATTAAGAACAGATTAATCTATATATAAATTTGGCTTGTCTGTCTGTTTGTTTGTTTGTCTGTCTGTTTGTTTGTATCCAATAAACGTCAAAACGGCTATTTAAGTTCCTAATTTCGAAAATTATTCCTTCTTGAATAAAACATTTAGAAATATAATTTTCGAGATGTTTTCATTCTTCGCGATATTACTACCCAACGCTTAACTAACTAACATTAAACATGTCCGGACGAAATCAAGATTACAAAGGTTGCAAACTCTCGTGCAAAAATCGATGAGAATTTTGCCAAAAAGTTAAAAACAAATGCTTTATTAGATACAACTTTTCATAGCAATCTGACACTTTCTAAATATGTTTAATGGATGAAATGGGATTGAAAACCAACTGTTCTGTATTGATTGCCATAAATTTCCAAGATACCATAACACTTCGGCCATTTTATTTAGGTTACGTTCCTTTAGACTAATTAAGAAGGTATAGACTAATTCACAAATAAAAAGAAATTTATGTTCGACTCTTTTGTATTTTATTTTATTTGTCAATAAAATAAACTCTGTGAAAAACTCCATAAAACAGTCAATAAAAAAGACATTGTTACGCAGACGTGAATTGTTTTGTAAAATTTAGAATAAGTTTAAAGTTGATGTGAGATAAGGGGATATAAATCTTGCAAAAGAACAATTAAAGATTAATGGTAGTAGCGGGGGGGGGGGGGGGTCTTTTTTTAAAATTTTTACAAAAAATATTTTTTTTTGGTGGATTTCAAGGTTGTAAAAGAAAAGGGGGATTAGTTAGCCCTTCAATATAGAAAACAAGCTGAAGTACTCGGCGTTGCCCGTACAATTACAATAAAAAATGGCCTTTGTTTCCTTAAAAATGTTTATGTTTACGACAAAATATTTTTTTTTGGTGGATTTCAAGGTTGTAAAAGAAAAGGGGGAGTTTAAAGGATTTGAAGAGAAGGTTGCCGTGAAGGTGTAGAACATAAAATTAATAAAGAGATGTTTAAAGATAAGTTGGGATGGAAAAGATAGAAGAATAAACAGTTATGCGCTTACAATACAAATCTCCAGATATGGTTCTATCATTTCATCCTCAAAGACATCCTCTCCTTGACCCTTTGGCATTCGGAAGAAAAAAATTAAATTTGTATGTATTATTTGTCAGTTTTTTTGACAATTATCCTTATGATTTAGTCCATTTTTGTCCTATGATATTTGCCATGCTCCATGTGATGATATGACATTTAGTTTCCAGATATGTTGAAAAACCACAAATTCAACCGTTTGTTAATGGGTTCAGTTTGGATCAACAGCTATTTAAAAATGGGTCGTACAAAACAGTAATACAATCAATTGAGCGTCTGCAAAAAAATTAAATTATTGCTTGAGGTTTTAAAAGGACCTTTAAAGCTTTAAGTTTATTCCCATTACCCCAAAACCTTTCGAATTTGCTTTCAACCAAGTGTTAGGCGACCTTTTGGATCCTATTTGAACCTTTCTGATCCTATTTGATCCTATCTGATGCTATTTAATCCTATCTGATGCTATTTGATGCTATTTGATCATATTTAATCCTTTTTGTTCCTATTTGATCTTATCTAACGCTATTTGATCTTATCTAATGCTATTTGATCCTATCTTATGCTATTCAATCCTATTTGATCCTATTTGATCCTATTTTGTCTTATCCGATGCTATTTGATCCTATCTGAAGCTATTTGATGCTATTTGATGCTATTTGATGCTATTTGATCCTATTTGATCCTATTTGATCCTATTTGATCCTATCTGATGCTATTTGATGCTATTCGACCCTATTTGATCCTTTTTGATCCGATTTGATCCGCTTTAATCTTTTTTATTCTATTTGTTCCTTTTCGATCCTTTTTGATATTTTTTTTATCCTAGTTGATCCTTTTTGATTTTATTTGATCATATTTGATCATATTCGGTCCTATTGATCCTAGTTGATCCTATTTGTATCCTATTTGATTCTATTTGATCTTAATTATATTTGATCCAATAGATCCTATTTAATTATGCTTTGTCCTATTCTATCCTTTTTGATCCTATTTGATTATTTATTTTATCCTATTCGATACTATTTTTAGGTTACTTTATTAAATTTTGG